TCCTGGTGGGCTCCTTGGGGTGAAAAGCAAAAGGGTTCTCCTTTCTCATGTCACTATTGCTCTCTGAGAGCAAAAGAGAGCCTGAGTGCAGAAGTGGCAGTGAAGGAGGAGAGGTACTGCTGGCAGTGGAGGGGAAGATGAAGGGCCCTGTTGAGGGATGCACAAGTGAGCTGATATGAGATGCTGGCATGGCCTCAGTTTCCTGGAGAGACAGATGGCTTGGGCACAGGGCAGCTTGAGAGCTCTGTTACTGCTGTTTCTGGGAGTCAGAGAGAGCTGGGCTAGTGTGTGATAGCATCTGCTCTGGGTGATGCCTGTGAGGCTGGAGAGTAGCTGAAGCAATGCAGCAAGAGCACTGGAGCCTCCAGAGCTACTGGTACCCTGGAGGAGATTCTGCCTGCGACCTTCTGGGCAGAGCCAGTGGAAGCCAGGCCAGTCACTACTCAAACAGCAAGTGAACTCAGGAGATCTCTACATCACCCATATGTAGGCCCAGTGGGAGCTGTGGGGCTGCCCCTCACTGTAGCAGTGCCATGGTTTGCTTTCTGCTTTCTACTGGATGCTCAGCTCTGTTAGCTCTTGCTCCATTTCCAGCCTATGGCAGTGAGTTCAGCCACATGTAGTGTGACTGACTGTCTCTGGGCCCCAAGACCCAGCCCCTGAGCAAACCCTGTTTATCAGAGCTGGAGGACAGAGGGATGTGTGTGGTTGCCTCTGCTAAATGGGCAGGAGGAGGACATAGCTGCTGCTTCAAACAGGACTTCAGAGCTCTGGGAATGGTGGTCAAGGATCTGGGAGCCCAGGTCGTTTTCTCCTCAATCTTGCCTGTGAGGGGAAAGGATGGGAGGAGAAGTAGACGAGTTTTCCAAGTTAACAGCTGGCTGCGCCGCTGGTGTCGGCAACAGGGCTTTGGTTTCTATGACCATGGAACGCTGTTTGAAGATCAATAGCTGACGGGGAGCGATGGGATCCACCTTACCAAGCGGGGCACGCGTCTTTCCCAACAGATTGGCCAGCCTGGTAAGGAGGGCTTTAAACTAGGCAAGATGGGGGAAGGGGAGTGGTATAGTGGCAGGAGAGTCAGTAAAACACCGCTCAAGTCAGGATGCCTCCAGCGGGTGCATGCAGCCAGGGGAGACAGCATGGGACATGGCTATGGAGGATCCTCTTGCACCTCTTCTGGGAAACCTTCATGCTCCACTGGCTCTCTGAAATGCCTGTACACCAATGCACGCAGCATGGGGAATAAGCAGGAAGAGTTAGAGGTCTGTGTGCGGTCGCAGGGCCATGATCTCATTGCGGTTACAGAGACATGGTGGGATAGTTCACGGGACTGGGATGCTGTCATGGATGGCTATGTGCTTTTTAGGAAAGACAGGCCAGGAAGGCGAGGTGGTGGAGTTGCTCTTTATGTGAGGGAGCAGCTAGAATGTATGGAGCTCTGCCTCGGCGTGGATGAAGAGCAAGTTGAGAGCCTATGGGTAAGGATTAAAGGGCAGGGTAACATGGGTGACACTGTTGTGGGGGTCTACTACAGGCCACCTGACCAGGAGGAAGTCATCGATGAGGCCTTCTACCGACAGCTGGAAGTAGCCTCACGATCACAGGCCCTGGTTCTCATGGGAGACTTCACCACCCTGACATCTGTTGGCAAGACAGCACAGCTAGGCACAAACAGTCGAGGAGGTTCCTGCAGAGGATTGATGATAATTTCTTGACTCAGGTGGTGGAGACGCCAACGAGGAGAGGTGCAATGCTAGACCTTGTCCTAACGAACAAAGAAGGTCTAGTTGGAGAGGTGAAGGTTGGGGGCAGCCTTGGCTGCAGTGACCATGAGATGGTGGAGTTGAGGATCCTACGAGGAGGGAGCAGGGCAATAAGTAGGATTGCAACGCTGGACTTGAGGAGAGCTAACTTTGGCCTCTTGAGGGACCTACTTAGGGGAATCTCATGGGGTAGGGCCCTAGAAGGAAGAGGGGTCCAAGAAAGCTGGTTAATATTCAAGCGTCACTTCCTCCAGGCTCAGGATCAGTGCATCCCTCTGAGGAAGAAGTCCAGCAAAGCGGGCAGGAGACCTGCATGGATGAGCAAGGAACTCCTGACAAAACTCCAGCAGAAGAAGGAAGTGTACAGAATGTGGAAAAGGGGACAGGCCACTTGGGAGGAATACAGGGACGTTGTCAGAGTGTGCAGGGATGCGACAAGGAAGGCTAAGGCCCAGCTGGAATTAAATCTGGCAAGGGACGTCAAGGACAACAAGAAGGGGTTTTTCAAATACATCAATAACAAAAGGAAGACTAGGGAAAACATGGGCCCACTGCTGAATGGGGTGGGTGCCCTGGTGACGAAGGATACAGAGAAGGCAGAGTTGCTGAATGCCTTCTTTGCTTCAGTCTTTCCTGCTAAGGCCAGTCCTGAGGAATTCCAGACACTGGAGACCAGGGAGGAAGTCTGGAGAAAGGAAGACTCTCCCTTGGTGGAGGAGGATCGGGTTAGAGATCTTTTGTCCAAACTTGACATCCATAAATCCATGGGCCCCGATGGGATGCACCCACGAGTGCTGAGGGAGCTGGCGGAGCTCCTGGAGCTCAGGAACTTTCAACAGAGAAAAAATGCCCACTCCTGCCCCAGGAGGGAAGAACCCCTTGCAGTGACCCACGAAGGAGACAGACTGGCCGGCAGCAGCTCTGTGGCCGAGGCCCAGAGGGTCCTGGTTCTGAGAATCACAGAATCAAAGAATGGTTTAGGTTGGAAGGGACCTCTGGAGATCATCTCGTCCAACCTCCCTGCTCAAGCAGGGTCACCTAGAGCATATTGCCCAGGATCACATCCAGACGGCTTTTGAATATCTCCAGCGAAGGAGACTCCACTACCTCTCTGGGCAACCTGTTCCAATGCTCTGTCACTCTCACAGGGAAGAAGTTTTTCCTCAGGTTCAGATGGAGCTGCCTGTGGTTCAGTTTGTGCCCATTGCCTCTTGTCCTGTCGCTGGGCACCACGGAGAAGAGGCTGGCCTCATCCTCTTGACACTCCCCCTTCAGATACTTGTACACGTTGATGAGATCGCCTCTCAAGCTTCTCTTCCCCAGGCTGAACAGGCCCAGCTCTTGCAGTCTTTCTTCCTAGGAGAGGTGCTCCAGCCCTCTAATCCTCTTGGTAGCCCTCCGCTGGACTCTCTCCAGGAGTGCCATGTCTCTCTTGTACTGGGGAGCCCAGAACTGGACACAGTACTCCAGGTGAGGCCTCCCCAGGGCTGAGGAGAGGGGCAGGATCACCTCCCTCCACCTGCTGGCAACACTCTGCCTAATGCACCCCAGCATACCATGGGCCTTCTTGGCCACAAGGGCACACTGCTGCCTCATGTTTAACTTGTTGCCCACCAGCACTCCCAGGTCCTTCTCGGCAGAGCCACTTTGCAGCAGGTCAACCCCCAGCCTGTCCTGGTGCATGGGATTATTCCTGCCTAGGTGCAGGACCTTGCACTTGCCTTTGTTGAACTTCAGGAGGTGGAGGGCTACCAAGATGATTAGAGGGCTGGAGCACCTCTCCTCTGAAGAAAGACTGAGAGAGCTGGGCCTGTTCAGCCTGCAGAAGAGAAGGCTGAGAGGAGATCTCATCAATGTCTACAAGCATCTGAAGGCGGGGTGTCGAGACGATGAGGCCAGCCTCTTCTCCATGGTGCCCACTGACAGGACAAGAGGCAAAGGGCAGAAACTGAACCACAGGAAGTTCCATCTGAACCTGAGAAAAAACTTCTTGACTGTGAGGGTGACTGAGCATTGGAACAGGTTGCCCAGAGAGGTAGTGGAGTCTCCTTCCCTGGAGATATCCAAGACCCGTCTGGATGTGATCCTGGGCAATATGCTCTAGGTGACCCTGCTTGAGCAGGGAGGTTGGACTAGATGATCTCCAGAGGTCCCTTCCAACCTAAATGATTCTGTGATTCTGTGATTCATCTCCTTCAGTAAGCCAGAGAAGGAGGCTTCTGCAGAGTATAGCTAAGATTGCCTCTAAGTCACTCCTTTGCCATCTGGCATACTCTCTGCATGTCTGTGCATGGGGCAGAAACTGGATACTGCTGTGCATTTTTCTGAGTGAGGTCGTCCACTTCTGTAGCCATCTTAAGCCTGTGGAAAGCCTATGTTTTTCCCCCAAAGATAGAGAAGGTGAACTTGTGTCAAGGACAGGGCTCTGGATTCAAGGCGTGTTGTCATAGCTGACATGAGGAAGGAACTTCTGAAAGAAACAGCACTTGAGGGATGGTAAACAGTCAGGGTAAACCTATGGAAAAAAAATCACATGCTTTCCCCACCCCAGGAGTGAGCCCCTGCCATGCCTTGGAATTGACACTGGCTCCATCAGCATCTCAGCCAAGCCCAAACATTCAAAAGGTTTTGATTTGCCCTCCTAAAAGGTGGAAGATGGGCAAAAAATTCAGAAAGTACAAAAGAGCATGTCAGATGTCTGTCTGGATTTTCTTCCACAGCCGTGGGAGCTTGGCCTTGCCACCCAGGATAACAGCAAGCAGCTGGGAGCGGCAAAGGGTAATAGCATGGGAGAGAGTGCAGAGTCTGGCATGGGGGCCCAGTTTGGGCCCTACTTGCATTTGTAGGCAAATAACTCCCAAAGAGCACAGCCTACCTGACAGCTCACGAGCCTCACGGCACGCTGCTTTCTCAACAGTTACAGCAGCTGCTAAAAACTTTCTCTGAGCTGTTTTCACAGGAAAATAAGTGATGCTTTTATAATTGAGTTGGTCTTTTTGCCCACCATCTGGGGGGAGCATCTTTGTTGCCTTCTGGAGTTATGTAGAAAGAAGAGATGTGTGGCTTTCTGGACACCCAGGGCTGACATACAGGGAGATTTCCCTTTAAGATTAAGTCTCCAACTGGCAGTGCAGAGACCTTCAAGGAGATTTGGTGATGG